GTTTCGTCGACACTCGTCAGTCCCACGTTGGCCTGCAGGAGCTGCTGCAGTAACTGAACCTGAGCCGCGCTCAGAAACAGCTCCAGACTGGACGTCACGTTCATCTCCAGACTGTGGCCGCACACCACCACTTCCTGCAGACAGAGGCACGACTGTCATTTATTCACTTTATTTTGCACTGTACTTTTCATTTTTAAAGCTTTAACAGATGTACAGCCGACCATCAAACACCGAACACTGACAGAGAGAATCACGGGAGTTTAACTGAGAGCTGATTGGATGAGCCACGATTGAAGCTGCTAATAAACACACACCTGTGACACACACTGGATATTAAAGCTGCTAACGCTAACCATTCATCACGCATCTGATGAACACGTTTGGTGAAAACAGGTGTTTAAATCTCCAGACACTATAACCGCCCTGACGCTCTAAACCTGCAGGTCAGATGGTCTCTGGACGGCTTTTCTGTCCAGGTTTGTGTAAAGTGAAACCAGTGGCTAGTTGTTTAGTGATTTTCAGTATTTAAGGTCAAATATGGAGCTGACATCAACACTTCACTGAAGCAAACAAACACACGGCGAAAGCATTACTGTGCAAAAAACGAGAAACTGTTTGTCTCGCTTGAGCAGCGGCTTCAGCTTCTCCAGCAGCTCCAACTTCCTAAAACACTCCAGCGTCCCATCCTGAACACACATGCTTTCATCTGACAGAAGACAGAGCATCACTGAAACATCACACACACACACACATACACACACGTGTACCTCGGCTGGGCCGTGATCCGCTGACAGAGGCTTCCGGTAAATTACAGCTGGAGCTGCTGTGATCCGCACAGAGAAATCCGTGATGATCGGAGACAGGATCACTCGCTTCTCCTGCTGCCGGCGGATGCTGCAAACACACACACACACACACACACACTACAGTGAGTCTCACAGAGCTCAAAACATCATCAAACCTTCAGCAATATCTCATAAACAAACACAAAGCCATAGCGGATCATGTCATACACTCTATAAACTCAAAACGCAAATCAACATCATTAATGGTGTTTATCAGAAAATCAGAAATATAAACAGATGAAGCTGAAGCAGGACAATGAACTGATGTACAGCAGCGCACTGACACTCACTCACTCTCAGTGCAGGAGAACCAGTGCAGCACAGCAGACAACAGACACACACACACACACACACACATACTCACACACACACACACACAACACATGAACTCCGATCGGATCTCTGGAACATTTGTGGGCAGTAAAACAAACACGCGGCGCTTTATAAGGTGCCACATCTGCTACTATTAAAACAATCAAACAGCGACGCTCTGATATTTATGGTGGGCAGTGGATTAGACAGAGGGAACTCTGGGATTACTGCCGGCACACGATTGGAGCGTATACGCTGAAGATCCTGTTACCTGAACAGGTGCCAGAGAGATCACATGACCTGCGCTGTAACCCACCCGTACAGCAGAGACCTCCGCGGCTAACGCTCACGATTAGCAGGCATATTCTACTTCCTGTCAGGGGATCATGTTATCTTGGGCTGGCCTGCTGCACAAACGGTGTTGGTCTTCAAGTCCTCGGCCGTCCAGAAATGACAGTACAGCACCGCAGAGAGACACACGAACTCCAGATTCATTCAGTCTGTTCTGGAGATCTCAAAACTCACCGGACGTCACAGTTTTTCTGATAAATACAGCGATTGTGAATTAAAAATTCTTTTAAAGAGGTTTGCTGTGCTTGTTTGTAGAGCTGCAAAATATGGCCCAAAAATCATATTGTGGTTATATATCAATATGAATGTAAAATAATGATAATTATTATGATTTTTATTGTGATTATTATTATTAATAAAAGTTGTAAAAAAAGAAATGTATTACTCAGGGCTCTACAGTGCGACCATTTCAGTCGCATTTGCGACTGAAAACTACTGCGTGCGACTATGACATTTTTTTAGGAGCACCAGTGCGACTGACCCGATCATCATCATACTTGTGATTGCGCTCAGGGGAGCTTCAAAGCTTTCTACGTGTTTTTGCAGAGTTGAGTAATGCAGTGTAGAGAGCTTTGTTGATTATAAATGTGAGATCGAGATGAACTAAGATGAGTGACAGCTTTTAATGATTTTTAAAGGAGTTTGTAAATGTGATACTGATTTAATACAATACAGTTCAATAAACAAGAAGTTAATATTAAGTGACTTACATTGTCTGACTATAACACTATTGTCTGATTTTGCTCTATTTCGTCGTTAAATAGTTTAAAACAAAGACACAGCGGAGCCGCAGCGTATCTCCATTCAAACACAGCGGTGTTTCGTTTATGAATGAACGGGGTTTTTTAAACGAATCTAGTGAGTCAGTGATTCATGATTACCCATTCATAAATACTGTCACTTGATTCATTCCTGAATGAATAAGCCGTTCGAAATCATTTAATATTTCTATATTCAAAATTTTATATTTAAAACATTAATATCATCATGAATTTATGGATTTAATTGCACTCATTCCACTTCTGAGCCTCCTGAGCCTCATGAAAGTACACCAAGCCACTTTTGTGTTCTTCTGTGCCACCTCTACAAATTAATTTTGTTAATTTTGTTAATATTTGATTGGTAACTTATATTTCTTATTCTACTTGTTCGTATTCTGTCGTTTTAATTAAAAAATTTAAAAAGCTTATAAAATATAAT